ACGACGGCGAATTCCTCTTGACCAGCTGTCGATTGGCTTTACTGGAAGATTCATGCTGATGCTGTTTCCGTGGCAATCTCCTTCGATTCCGGTGAACACGTGCTGAGCTTTCGTCCGTCATAGGACGGACATCATCAGAGCGAGGTAACATCGTCACAACAAAATTCAAGCTTACCAGTCGACACTTCTACTCGAAATGGAAGTAATCCCAAAAATTATGAAACAAGAGATTCCTCGAAACCCAACTTTTCTTCGTATACATCCCATATAACTGAACTACTGGTATTCTCGAAACTCTGCTTATAAACGAAAAAGGATTCCAGTTTTTTTGTTGATAAATAGGTTTTTGAGATGGCCAGTAGATTGCATATATCGGATGCATTTTTCCCTATTTCTTCAAGATGATGAAGGATTGGTAGTTGAATTTTTCCACGATGATAAGAGTAGGCCTTACTTTCTGATTGAATTTCAAAAAGGCTTTAGTCAAAAAAGGAATTGTCATTAAGGATGAACTGTATTTTTGAATTTCCCTCGGTCTCATCAGCACCCCTTGCGGGATTCGAACCGTGCTAGTCCCAAAATCTTACTTACCAACGAAAAATAAGTAATGTAGTCGATTGCCATAGTAAATACAACTTTGCTTCTTCCACACTTCTACCGCAGAATGTCATATGATAAAATGCCCAGTTTTCCTTGTAATTCATATCTGCTCTGTGACCCAAAAGCACTCGTAGCAATGTGGCATAGTGATTAACATGTCAAGAATATACATTAACTTTCCTAGTTCCAGTCATGCTGGGTTGGTTATCAGACTGAAACGAGGTTGAGACTGCAGTACACTCCAGCTTGGATAAGAAAACCTTTTGGGAAGAAAGGCTGTGCTAAATCCATTTGAAATATAAGGCCTACTTTTATCAATGTGGGAGATTTCAGCTACCGGTCCTTCATCACCTTAACAAAAAAGGGTGATTACATCTCGTATATATAATTCCAGGCTTCGTTTACTTTTAATCGAAGGTATGAAGACCAAGATGGTGTGGCCTTTTGTTTGGTCGCAGTATCCGTTTGTTGTATAGAGGTTGTTGACAGGAGTCGAGTGAAATACGTGAACCAGGAAGAGAGTAGACGGATCTTATCAGCAAGATAGAGACTGTGATAAGACTTATTGAAGGAGGACTGCTTAACAATATGGCAGACTCTGATCAACATTCCCAGCACAAGGGTGAAGAGGGTGACAACGACAGCGTGGAGTGTGAAGATGGTTCAGGAATGCCGCTCAAAGGAGCACGCCACACTACATTGAAACAAGTGTGGTAAAATTGTAAAAGTAAAGGCGCGATAGGAGTATATAGGAAATGTGAATAGGTCAGGGCAGAAGGGGAGATACCACAAATGTTTAGCACATGTTTGGTCAAAGGATCGGCTTTACTTGTCTTTTTGACGAGTTGTTGTGTCGTACTAAGAATAGCGAGACTCACTGACGATGCTGACTATGATGCCGGCGAAACGTCTGAAAATGTACCACATCTACGGTCCTACTTTGGAAATGGTCATGCATACAATGGACTTCGTACTAGGTGCGTTCCTCTAAGTCTTCTTACCAATATGACCAAGTTGCGAAAACAAGGTCAAACAAACTCTATTCGATTACTTTTATTTGACTAAATCTTAGTATTCTTAAAAGGATATGAGTCGACTTCTCGATACACTTGAAACTCACTTAGACTTCCTTGCCTGTCGAAAATGTTTTCATACAGAGTGTTGCTTCACAGCCACCAAAGGGGCTTAGAAATCCAGTAGTGCTCTTTGTGATGATATGTTACCACTCCACTACACAGACACGGGTGCCATGAAGTTGAGTAAAGTCGTGAGAACTTCTCGCCTGAAGTTCAACTATTTATCTATATTTATTGAGGGTCTCAAAATCTACTTACACATTAACGAATATTTATTTTCTTAAATACGGCCTAGAGCCACTTCTGAACGCTTAGAGTAATTTCAAGGATTTTCAAATAATATAACGAATAGGATTCACGTTGCAATTGAATTTTAATTGGCGTTGCCTCCCAAAATATGTTCACATATAGGGTGGACTGCCTGGTCATCTCTATCCTCCTAAACTTTCAAAATTGTATCTTGCGGATAAAGTGGCAGCACTTAAATTAGTCATTTAAGTCAATCTACGCAATTAACGCTTACCCAAGCTCTTAATCAAGCATTACTAATAGTCTTGAAAAAGTTATTCTCACCAAAAAATTATGTTAATTTGTCTATCCACCCTTCATTTCAAGTCAAGGGCTATTAAGTTAAGTAAATTCGCTGAAAGTCCCTATATGCTTCTTTTTTACAACCTATAGAACAGTTGTGTTTATAGTGATTTGGTTAGTTCTTATCATATATCTATGAAAAATGTGTATATACGCACTTGGGCACGTGTGCTAGTGCGTAAGTAAGGAGGCGAAACCAATATAGCCAGCTATAACTTTCATACCATTATCCATAATTAGGCATATACGCACACCAAGGGACATATTTCTTACTTGACATATTATATAAACTAGCTGAATCTTCCTACACCTCATTAGAATTAATAGGGTTGTGGCATATATACAGCATGTAGGAATGAGCCAGAATTCCTGGGTTGGTTACTTTATGTGTTCACCGGAATAATCACCAGAATGTACCAGTAGGGCCAAACAACAGCCGGTCGTGTTGAATTTTGATGAGATAGACCTATGAATCTTTTCACCACATTTACGCGACATGGAATTGAGCTCATCACTCTTGAGTAGTAAAATTCCTCGAAAAACAACTTTTATTCTAATAAATTAGTTTAATTTTGATGTTTAAGCATTCTTAACCTCAAAACGGAGTATTTAATTTCGATTTTCACCATTTATGTTTCCTTCAGTGAAATAAGTACTTTTTAATTGCAGCCGCTCGATGCGATATGACTGAATTGACTCGCCTCATGCCGAGATCTACTTCAGTGGAAAACGCCTATGACTTGAACAATCAAATCTATTACAACTCGACCAGCGACTATAATCTTTACCGGTCTTTGGTCAGCATTCGCTGTCAGAAGGGTACCTTTTTTGAGGACCGACAACTGGAGAATAAGTTACTCTGTGACCTTGTTAAGGGCTCAACAAATAGTGTACAATGGGTTGGTTATTCGGGCACATCGCTGCCTCTCCTGAACTGCATAGGTAAGTCTCTCCAGATGAAAAAGGAATTAATCAAAATGGCATTTTAAGGCTCCTGAATAATGGTCACTAATTAGGTCAGTGAGTGTGATAAGTTGAGTAGAGCCCATGTCTTAGAGCAACTGGGCTCCAGGAATATGCATTATTTAAGAAACCCGGCCTAATCTAGTCTGGCATCAAAAGCTTTCCCCCACTAGATCCAAATGGATAAAGTATGGGATAGTTGAATTACCTAAGCGTAACACCGTGATCTTTTATTTGTCATTTATCCTCCAGCCTAAGAAAATTTGACATCGATCATCGGCCGAGCCAAAATTCATGACCCTTGTGTCACGTGGTCTCGACGCCATGCATAAGTGACTGTAAGTGCAGAACGTCATAGGAAATACAAATAGATGTTCAGCAGGGCTAATTAAAAAAAATATCAGCTGAGCTTTAACACATAATTTGCATCGAATAT